ATTTGACAGTCTGAACAAAGCAAAAAAAAGTGTTCTTTCCAGAAAAATAAACTTTCAGAATTCTGAATGTTTCCAGTCAGGATAATGAGAAGCAATTCTGACAAGGAGAAACTTCTGACCTTCCTGCCAGCAATTAATTACCCTACTTTCTAATGAAGGTGTTTGAGTTCATTCAGGGAATATTTGATCCTTGTTTCTTTCTGGCTGAATGATGTTAATCTGATGAATATTACTGCATACTTAATAGGAATTTGATCTGATTATGTTTTCTACTAAACATCACTTTTAATATATAAAATTGGATAATAACCTGCAAATGAAAATTGTATCAAATAGCAGAAATATTGCATTTCAGGCTATCAACTAACTCAGATCCTGGGCAGAGTCAAACGGAACATAAAAAAAGAAATGCAAAGAAAGAAAAAGTTTGGATTTCTGTAGTCCTGTTGCTGTCCCTGGGACAAACTAAAACACTTTGGAGCCATTAAATTACCTCTGAAATGTAACTCCTGGGAGGCAAAAAAGACAACCAATTTGGATGCATTGAGGGTCCACAAAAGCAATGATGGTATTAGTTGAGGGTTAAACGTTGGATGGGGTCCTGAAAAGAGATCCTATGCTCTTTTTTTTGATTAGTCTATTGGATCTTTTGATAGGCGTACATCTCAAATGAAAGTTGGCTGCTCTGAAATTTTAACGCTTCCTCAATGCTACATGGTGGCCTAGATCACATGCTCCAGTTGTACAATGTAGTTTAAACTGATGCTAATTACAACCTGAAAATGAAATGCTGTATTACATTTTGGAATGAAACCCTTCATTCATACTCTTAGGATATAAGGCAACTGACATAAGTTTCCTATTGAATTATTAGCCTTTATATTTTAGACTGACCCGCTGTATGTTTTTTACTTCAGTTTGGAGTTCCTGACTGCATAATTTTTCTCATTGCATTTTTAAAAGTACCTGTTTATGCAAAATTTCTCACGCAGCATCTGCATCAACCAATTTTCTCTACCATTGTAATTTTATCTGCAGAGTGTTTCAATGCTGCTCTTTGCTCACAGGGATTGAAGTTGAGCAAGATGTGAAGGGATCAGTCTTTGCCAAAACTGGCGGATAAAGGCACTGTTGCACAACACAAAACTGAATGAATCATTTACTCTGGCTTTCAATGCATCTTTAATTTATTCAGAAAAGGCAGCCAGGAGGAGAAACACATAGGCAGTCCTTGCACACTAGCCAACCCTGACTGCATGTTTTAGAACTTGACTATAAAAAGTGTTTTGTGAGAGAATAATATCATGGAACATTGAGAATGTTATTATCAATATATATAGCATAAATCTCATCACACCATGTACTAAACGAGTTGGACCTGTGCTTCACCTACTCTGTCACTGCGGTTCCAAAACACACATTATGTCTCAAATTATGCACTTATTTTAAAACAGTATTTCTCATGAGAGAATGTGAAGATTACCTATCTCGTAATTTAGGAAATAGGCAGGGAAAAAGCAGCTTTGCACAGATAATTGTAATGGCCGTCACTTAATTTAGAACACTTGAGAATGCTGAGCAGGGCATTTTTGATGAGGAAAGAAAAATTGGGCGCTACTAATTAGTTTGCTTAGGGCAGTTATCATTATTATCTAGGTTAACAGCTGGTGTAGCTGACAGTTTGATAAGAGATGTGGAAATTTATTTTCAAAACTGTCCTGTCCAGTTGAATTGAACTAGGTTCTTGGAAATGATCATTTCAACCATGCGAACAAGCTACAAATTGAATGTTTAAGATAATAGCTGGGGTCATGAGCATTGAATCCGTTACCTATATAAAGACAAAAACAGCCTGACAAAATGTTAATTAATTAGTGATCAACTGAATTTGAGATTAAAAACTAACCAGGCATCTGTCAGGAGCCTGTCTCTTGAAAGCTATAATTACAACAAGGGTAGGCATGTATTAATTGGATATTATGTTGAGAATATTGAAATAATAATGAAATGTTTTATTGTTGATTTGATTTTCTCTACTAGATTGTAAATTAACAGTTTGTTAACTGTGATAACACAGTCTAAGAGTTATCCTCTTAAATGTGGAGAAAAAGCTGTTATAGAATTGTGATCAGAGTAGTATAAATCTACAATTGAAGCAAATTTTGTTGGAAGCCAACCATTTCTGAAGGACATCTGGTGCTCAAGTTGGTGTACAAAGATGTAATCATTCTTTTGTAACAGGGCATATAAAAAATGCTGTACTGAATTTTTTTTAAAGGTTGTTTAGGCTATTGGGACAACCAGTCTGTGTAAAACTTTATCACCCGAACTACTAATTTTAAAACTAGTTTGTCCTGTAAATTAAACCAATATTGTGCATTCCATTTTTGTGAGATTTTTCATTAGATATGGGCTGCAATTTTATATTTAGTACAGAGAATAATAATGCATGAAAAGTTCAATGTGACTAATGGCCACTTTACCAATTAAAATGTGATATGGGTACTTTTGACAGTCTTGTGAGATGATGTAAAATACATAATTATATTATTTTATTGTTTTGTGGAAAACAGTGAGGGTGATACCAATTGACCGCATGAATAGGTGAAAGGAAAATACATCTGAGATGATTTGTGTTGGGTGAACAGATAAGGAGAGTATAGTTCTAAAGAGTGTGCAGGTCAGAGGGATTCATATGCATTGAACTTGGAAGGGGCAGTGCCTAATGATTAGGGGAGTGGTTAGTAAAGCATATGGAATCTTGGACTTCAGAAATAGAGGTATTGGGTACAAAAGCATATAAGCTACGCTGAAACCTTGCAAAATTTTTGGTTTGGCTACGACAAGTGTATTTTCTCCAGTTCTGATCATTATGCTTCAGGAAAGATATGAATGTTCATAAAGTACAGAAGAGTTACTGAATTAGTAATCAGAATAGTTACAGGGATGAGTAATTATAGTTTCAACATTATGCTGGAGAAGATGGGGTTGTTCTTCTTTGAGTGAAGGAGATTGTGGAGAAATTTGAAAAAGGTGTACAAGAATGAGAAAAGGTTTATAAGAGGTGGACAAAGAAAAGTTGTCCCCATTAGCTAGATGTGCAGTATTAGTGTCTAATTCATAGAACAACGACATAGAGCAGAATTTTATCTGTGTTTGTGTGAAGTGAGTGATGGTGAGTTTTATGGCAAAATCGGCTAAGTCAGTTGGGGCCCAGTTCAATGTTGGAGGCATCTCGCTGTTAGGTTATGTGTCTCAATATAGTCAAGGGAATGGGTAATGGTCAGTTCTATTGGACTAACACCAACAGCCAGAGGAATTGTATGTTGTCAGTCGGGGAGTTGCAAGGTCAGTAGACAGGAGTCTGGTCAGTCATTTTTAAAAGTTGCTCATGTAGTCCATCAGAGGTCTGGGGCAAGTACAATCACAGAGATCCATCCATCGATCTTAAAAAGAAAAGTGGTAGTGGACGGTAATTCTATAATCAGAGGTACAGATAGTATCCTTTGTAAACAGGATCAAGAGTCCTGCATGGTGTGTGGCCTGCCTTACGCCAAGGTATGGGACATCTCGAACCTGCTTGAAAGGATATTGGAGTGAGAGGGGAAGGACTCAGTTGTTGTGATCCAAATTGGGGCCAACACATAGGCAAGATATTCCCATTTGGGGAATATCATGGCCTTTCGAGGCCAAGTCATGTAATGTATTTATGGCAGAGACAGATAGGTCCTCGATTGATAAGGGGACCAAGTGATACTGGGAGAAGGCAAGAGAAATATATCAGCCATGATCGAATAGCAGAGCAATTGTGAGAGGTCAAATAGCCTAATTTTGCTCCTATATCTTATGGTCTTCCAGGATCATGGTGAATTTTTCATGTAACAAAGGTAAATTGCCAATTAAGGGACATTATTGCTTGTTAAACCACTTGCTTGGAAGGTCTACAAAGATCTCACTTCTGTGTGAATCTGAAGTGATACTCAAAGTATATTTTCACAGCTGGTTTCTTTGCCTGTGCAGACTTGTCTGGAGAATTTAATCCCTGTGAGCTGATTTTAACAAGAAAGTGGAGAGCTTGAGAATATGCATGTGAATTACTTGGGGAGGAGTTTTTCACAAATAGTGCAAGCCTTAGATATGGGTTCAGCCACAATATAGATTAAGTAAAGCATGTTTTCAGAAACTGCAGATAACCAATATACAGTTGAAAGAAAGACAAGGGAGGTTGGCACTTGACATCTGCCTATGTGTCTGTTTCCTGCATCCTCTATGGCAGAATAATGGCCCATGTCATTGTGGAAATATTAATTTTGGGAGATGTATCTTAATCTACTTGTGCAGTACCTGCAAACTAGAACATTTTGCTTTAATTTGTATTCAAAGTGTAGCCACTGCAGTCAAATTTTTCACATAATTGAACAAGGCAGCCTTTTGATATTTTACAGTTACTTCAATTCAACTGTGTCAAAGGGAAATAATTCAACGTTGGTTGCTTCACGAATTCATTGAATTCAAGTAGAAAGCCAGGCACACAATTAGAACTGGATCTCCATTCACATCCAAAGTATTTTCCCTCAACGTGTTTATGGAATAGCTATAATAGGTGGTCAAAGTCGGTGGGAAACATCCACCTGTGTTTTCATATCAATATTACAATAATCAAATATTCAGTGAGGAAAGTACAGGTGTGAGATAAAGAGACCAACATCAGAGACCTATTTCCCAGAATACAGCCCCTTTTTTTATTCTAGGGCATATTTACCCTCCAGGTGTTGTGTATATTTTGCTTTGACATAAAACCTTTTTAACTGCACTTGCATTTAGTGGCAGAAGCATCTTGGTTTATGAATACGTGGTTTATTTTCATTTGTAGATGATGCCCAGGCTGATAGTGGAGAGCTAAACTACCCCTTGAGTGGCTGGAATTTGTACTAAATATCTGGTTTGCGCAATTAATTGCTATTCACTTCAGAGATACTTCCCAATATCTTATTATGTGTCCCTGTGTCACTGTTCCTTCTGCTGCTGCATTGGATAGGCTGGACTAAATAACTGAAAATGTCAAAATTCACTGACCTCATTATCCACCTCCACCTAATGATCCTCTTTTCCCAAAATACAATCATATGGCTCAGTAACATTCATGTTCATTAGAAATTGTATTTGAGCTTCATAAGGGCATGCTGTTGATATCTCCACATGACTGAAATATATTGAGTCAAGTATTTACTCTGTTGAAAATTGTCTGATTTGGATTAAAATTGAAAGGATTCCTTCAAGCCTGAGTATCAGAAAACCATTTTGGACGATGTAAATATTTGCCTTTCTCTGTTCTGTTTCATTTTCGGGTAGAAAGTGTACTTGGTGACTGTAGATGATGACTCATCAGGACTGCCTCTGAGCACACAGCTGCTGTTTCCTGGAGCCTGTCCCAGATTTTACAGAGAAAATTGGCCCTCGATCTCAGATCTTCATCTGCTTGGATGTGAGCAAAATGATGGAGATAGCTGATTTGGAGGTAGTTGCAATTCTTAAAAGTTACATCAAAGGTTCCAAAGGCGAAAAGTCTCTGATATTTAGTCAAGCTGTGGAGAGCATGGTGAAGAATGTCCAGGTGGGATACCCCAAAAGAAGGGCTTCCTGGACAGAAGGTGGTCTTTTAAATAAAACAGATGCTGAGATTGCTGGAGAAACGCAGCTGTCTGGCAGCATATGTGGAGAGAAAGCAGAGTTAACGTTTTGAGCCCAGTATGACTCTTCCTCAAAATTATTCTTCAGAAGGAGGTCTTGAAACATTTTTCTACCTGACTGAGAGTTGGCCTGATTGACAGATCACATCTGGGAAGCACAGAGGAGTCAGTAGGGGGCTGCAGGGCAGACAAATCGCCGGGAACCAGGAACGTAGGAGAGGTGATGGAAGTGGAGGAAATCACGGCTGGATGAGGTTATATAGTTGAGAGTGTGGAGATCACAGTTGGAGCCTTGGGGGAGATGTAAAAATTGTAGACAACAAGGTGTATGTACAGGTGGGAGGTGGGTTGGGGATCAGGCAGATGAATGGAGTCTGTGAAAAGGTTTGTCTGTTGCACCAGTAGGAAACATTTCTATTATGCAACCTGCACCAGAACCATGCTTTGGCTTATGAATGTTGCTTCACCTTAACTTCACCTCTTAATAACCTGTTCAGTTGCCCAACATATGATGCCTATCATCTCTCCTTATATTAAGTGCAGTTTCAGAAGCTGGAGAACTCATGATATGATTACAAAAGCTGTGCAGGTAGTGAGCATTTGAAATATAAAGTTTCCGAATTTAGGTTTGCACCACAACTTAGTCAGAAGAAGCTGAATGATGTGGACAGAAATGACAATCAAGGTCATTGTGAAAGCCTGCTCCATGGTGGGATGCTATGCCTTTTATGTTTGTAATTGTGTGCATCTATCACAGATTTTACTAATAACAAGGAAATGGAAGAAGAGCAAGGAACTTGCAAATTCACCAAAAAAGCTATATATAAAGACCAGCTCTTTCTGCATTCTCAGTGATGTGTAACTTACAATTTATGTTACTATTTCCTGTGATAAGTCATTCATAATTGAGACCTGCTTTGCATAAGTTACAGTTTTCTTCTATATTTTTCAGTAACATGCTTCTCGCCTTCTCTATTCCATCATTGAAATAATCTGCTGCACATGATTGTTTTTAGATCAGAGGAACAGAACTTTAACTTGGATCAGAAATGTTTCTTACAGCATCGTGTCACACTGCAGTAACTGTGAATGACCTAGTTGGCAGCATTTCAATTCTGATAAAAAGAAGGACCCTAAATGACCTCTCAAGCTTTCAATTTTATGACTTGCAATTTTATTTGGGGGAAAATGCACTTAAGACATTAAATAAAATGCATGGCATCTGCTATGTGGAGCTTTCTCTTTGGTTGTATTTTCTCTGTTTAAATGGCATGCATTTTTGCACCTGATTATTGACCTAGATGGATTCGTAGGGATAGGTTATTTTACATATTTCAGGCAGATATTTTGCATTATTCCCATCTACTTTGGGGAATTCACCTTGGTGCTGGGACTGGTTGGGGTTGAGGACAGTTGGAGGATGGGTGGTGAAAAATGGCTATTGTAGCCTGCTCAGTGGGTCTAGCATGTGGAACTGCAAAGTCCTCAAGACCTAGATGGAAGGATTGAAACAATACCCATAATGGGCTCCCTGAGGGAAAAGTGGAAAATTTATAGTTTTCTCAACTGCCCTTTAATAATTTTGGATGACAGGGACAGTGGTGTCCTGACACATTGGTAATGGAATAAAATTTCACGTATAAATATCATTGGTCATTTCTGCTCACTTTGAATAGGTCCCATCTCCCCTATGTTAAAATGTATTCTTTGTCCCTCTTCACTTCTTCTGGTAGGAAAGTCTGAAAGCAACAGAAATTGGTAGGTAGCCAAGTGTTAATGCCTTTGCTTGTCCATTAAGACGACCAAAGAGACACAACTAAAGCAGAAAATATTGCTCTGTACATTCAGCGCTTCAGTGGAAGGATTAGGTTCTAATGATCAGCAAATAAATGAGTTTGGACAAATATTTGTGCAATAAAGTGAAAGGTTTATGCAATAATTTGAATTCTGCCAATGTTGTTTTGCATCTTTCATTTATTATTCATGAACTCAGTATTAACAACATCCTCTCTTCTTCAATTTCACCGATTACACTTTGGATATAACATGATCTTTACATCTGCATTAATTCCATTTCAAAATTTTGATCCGAGTTTTCCAATTGTAACTCCCGTGATAGCCCATTTCAATGTGTTAGTTATAGTTTGTGTGCAGATCTCAAACTTTGGGTCTTGAAACACAGCTTTTATTTTTGGCCTTATGTGATGGCGGGTACTGCTGTCCATTCATGACTTGATTTGACATAATTGACTTGAGCTGCTTCCTGAGTAATACCAGTTACCTACATAGAAACCAGGGAGAGAGAAAAGTTGATAATGGGGGCTATGAGTAGGTGAAAATGGGTTGGCTGTATTGAAAGCAGCCCATGCCATGTCAGGGCCTGCAGTGTGGGGTGAGTAAAGACCATGGAAGATGATGTTCAGGCCCTAAAGTTATTGAATTTGATATTGAGTACTGAAGGCTGCAGGGTCCTCAATTGGAAACTGAGATGCGTATGTTCTATACACTCTACGCACTATACACACACTCACATGCACACACACTCTCACACTCTCTCTCACACAAACACATGCACACACTCTCTCAAGCTCACATGCACACTCACACGTGCACACACACACTCAGACACTCTCTCTCTCAAGCACGCACACATTCTCTCTCTCTCTCTCTCTCTCCCTCTCTGTCTCTGTCTCTCTCTATCTTACACACACAAATTTATGGGGTGAAGTTGCATTTCCAAACTTGTAATTGCAGATAGGTTCTATTTTGTTCAAAAAGCACACAATTTGTAGACTGTCAATGTCGCAGAGGTTGTAGACCTGCTCGCCGAGCCGGTTTGTTTGATTGCAATAATTCAAATAATTGTCACCCTGCTAGGTAACATCGTCAGTGTGCCTCCGGTGAAGCGTTGGTGTTCTGTCCCCCAAATTGTTTACATGTCTCGGTTTGCTGGGGTGATTGGTATTACTTCCAGTTCTGTTTCTCAGTGGTTTGTACACAGGGTCTAATTCAATATGTTTGTTGATGAAGTTCTGGTTGGAATATTAAATCTCCAGGAATTCCCTGGCGTGTCTCAAAAACTTTAACGTCAATGTGGCATTTTATAAATTCCTACTTTGGAAATAAAACCAGTCTGACTCCAAGTTAATACGCAGCCAGATTCTAAACAAGGCCTCACATCTAAAATGCATTATCTGGCCTCAGATGTCACCTCTGGCATACTGATAAAACCTTCAGTTATCTCAGGGCAGTGACTTGAAAGAAATTCTGGGATTTGCATATTAATTGTTTCTAACTGATTAAATATTTAACAGCCATCTTTAGGTTTGTTCAATGCACTCGCATCAGTTCTATGACCCTTTGATCTCTTGCTTATAAATTCTGTGTCTGATGCCACCTCTTTCAATGACACCTGAAGAAGGAGCGAGACTCCGAAAACTTGTGTCTTCAACAAATAAAACCTGATGTCTTATGATTTTTGACAATGTTCCAGCTTGTGCTGAACCTCAAAGGAACACTGCAGCAAGCCTGAGACAGAGGTCTTGGCCAGAGAACACAGTGGTGTGTTAAAATTGCAGGCAACTGGTGGCTCAGGATCATTTTTGTGGACAGAACATAAGTGTTTCGCAAAGCGGTTGCCTAGGCTGCTTTTCCCAATGTAGAGGAGACCACATTGTGAATACAACAGACTAAATTGAGTAAACTATTTCATCTGGAAAGTGTGTCTGGAGCCTTGAATAGTGAGGAGGGAGGAAGTAAGTCACCATCTGTGATTGCATGGGATGATGTGTTGGCATATGGGAAGGTGTAGATAATGGACAAGGTTCCAGTTGAAGGAGGATGAATTGTAAGTTTGGAAGATAGTAGATATGAACATTGGAATATAGAACCCAGTAACTATAAGTAGGGACATTACAATTACTGGAACAAGTCAGATGCAGCATTGTTTGTTTGAATTTTGTTTGAATTACTAAAGGTGCTTGGATGGTGAAAAATGAATTCATAAACAAAATGAAAACCAGCAACAAATCCTATTCAGCAAAGAAAACAATGAATGTGAAAAGGCTGCTTGTAAAGAATCAAATTATTTGACTTGCTATAAGTATGTAATAGATAATAGTTTCAAACTGGTAGTTCTGCATCAAGTATCAAAATAAACAGTGGCTTTATATTTGTATGAGTGAACACACTGATTGCAAGCAGTAAAGTATCAGCCCAGTTTTCCCATCTTGCTTACTAATTTTACCACGCTGGAGGAAGATTAATTTCAAAATGGACCCGTCACCATGAGAATAATGGAATACTGCAAGTTCTGGATGAGCTGCAGTTTAAAAGGTAGAAGATGGTGTGTCAGCAAAGGAGGCCATTGGAATATTGGTCCTGAGACGACAAAGACAGTTAATTTTAGTGGCGGAAGGAAAAGTTATGGGTGGAAACTGGTAAAGTTGCAGAGGTGGAAACAGTCTTATTATGAGAGAATGTGAGGGTAGCCAGAGTAGAACAGAACACCAAGGTTATGAACAGAGCGGTTCAGCATGAGACAATGACCAGGAAGGGGGATTGGATTTAGCCACAGGAAGAAAAAATGATAGTTTTATTCTTCCAACGTGTAACTTGAGGAAGTGCAGACTTATGGAAGAAAACATGTTAGACCAGTAGTATGACACCACTAGTCAGAGAAGAGATGATTCTTCAAGTAAATTTGTGAGAGAAATGCAGAACTGAATGTTACAGTTGAGCCCATTACTGCAAATCACTACTGCGTTGGTATTTTATATTTTTAAGGTTATTACAGCCACACAAGATATTACCACCTTGCGAGCTTCAGTGTGAGAATGGGTGAACTCATTTTCTATTTTAGAACTACAGCTTCATTATAAACCTCTCCATGTTTATGCCATCTTTATTTAAGGTTTTGGATTACTTAATTTGAGTGTTTAGTGTAGAAGGATAAGGACAGGCATATATTTTCAGTAATAATATACAGTAAACACTTCTTTCTCTTATTCTTGTTTCTGTTTCAGCATTTTTTCCTGATGATAATCAGATTGTCGCTACCCCTGAAACCTCGCTCCAAGAAACTGATTGTTTCAGACCTCTCACTGAGTCAACTTCAATTGTCTTTGATGAAGATAAACCAATAGCCAGCAGTGGAGCTTATAAAATTGATTTTGATAGTCTTGATGTTTTGGATTCTTTCCAACCTCACTCGCCTTTGGATCCAAGCTCACCTGTGAAGTCAGAAGGTTCCAAGGTTTGTGGACAGGCTTGTGCGAAGTCTGTGTACACGACAGGCGGTACCAGTTCACCACCACCACAATCTCCACCATTCACACGGAGACCTGATGGAATTAGTGATGTTGGTCGCACAGACCATGGAGATAAAGCTTTGCAGGCAGAAGCCTTTAGCATAGCCTCAGATAATGCTCACAGTGTTAGGAAAAAGAAACCTAGACCGCTCTCTTTAAAAAGAAAGACCAGATCAGAGAAACCAGCAGAGACTCAAGCAGATAAACCAACAGAGGCCCCAACAGCAACAGAAACGCAAGCAAGGCCAACAGTACCTGACACTAATAAAGACGTCACTACATCTCAATCATCTGGCAACAGTTTACAAAGTGCAGTAAACCAACAGGATTCTCCCATTCCTCATCAAGCTTCCTGCAGCTTTGCAGATAATCTTTCTGAGCGTAACCCATTTGCTAGTGGAGATAAACAACAAAGTTTACCAGTAGCACAGAGTGAAAGTGAGACTTTTACTGTAGCTTTAAAAGAACCTGAATCGGAGTCTGGAACAATTTCAGATACTCCAGCCGTGGGCCATGCAGTGAGGCTGGAATTTGATTACTCTGAGGATAAAGACAGTTTTGAAACTGAACAAGATAAACAGGCTGTTCCTAAGAAATTTGGCAAAAAATCTGGTGGAAAGATGCCACTTAGAAAGCCAAAGATAGGAATCAAGAAGGTTCCTACTGTTGAAAAGGTAGACAATGCTCTTGCTGCTTCAGCTCATTCAACTGCTGATCCTGATGATATCCCTATTCCAAAGACAACATATTCATTTGACCCTTCCAAATGGGATGACCCTAATTTCAACCCATTTAGCAGTAATGTACAGGTTCCAAATTCTCCCAAGTTGCCTCATGCTTCATTCAATTTTGAAACGGACAACTGTGATAACTCTGTGGACCCATTTAAATCTTCTACAAAAATCTCAGGATCCCCTTCCCATTCACCTGCTTCATTTGAGGTGAATGATGACACCGGTACAAGTGAGGGGGATGTTAATAATAAATCATCGAAGAAGAAGAGGCTACCTTTAAAAACGTGAGTAATAAAATAATTACTTGTAGCAAAATATGTGGAGTTTGAATGATCAATATTATGCTTTTAAAATTTTCCAATGACATGAATTGTTTGATTGCAACCTGTTATATTCACAAAAGAACAGCTATCAGTATTTTAGAAAATATTAGCTTATTGGTAATGCCTGATGTAGTAATAAATCAGTTTGTACCTGAAAATGTAAGAAATAAGAACAGGAATGGACCATCTGACCAACCAAGCCTATCCACCAATTCAGTATGATTATGCTGGTCTTCAGCCTCAAGTCTTCTTTCTTGCCCACTCTCCATAGTTCTTTGATTTCCTGAAAGATCAAATAGCTTTCTATTTCAGCCCCACACATACACAGTGATCAAACATCTACAACCTCCCAAGGCAGAGAATTCCAAATATTCAAAGCTTTGAGTGAGATCTCTGTGTCATTTGGGAGCTTACCGATCATACCTCCTACATTCATGTCTAGATCATTTAATGTACACAACAAATAACAAAGAACCCAGCACCCAAACTATATATGGTACCACAGTGAATACAGACTTCTAGCCACAAAAACACCCTTTGACCATAACCTTCTGTTTTCTGCCACTTACCACTTTTGGATCTAATTTGCCAAATTGCCCTGGATATCATTGGCTTTTAGCTTTATAACCAGTTTACCAATGCAGAACTTTGTCAAAAGCTTTACTGAAGTCCATATAAACTATATTAACTGCACTACCCTCATCTATGTAATGAGCCATATCTTTAAAAAATTCAAACAAATTTGTTAACCCATACCTTGACAAAGCCATGTTGACTGTACTTGATTAATCCTTGTCTTTCCAACTGGAGATTCATTCCATCCCTCAGAATCTTTTCAATAGTTTACTTACCTCAAATATTAGAACTCTGGCATGTAGTTTCCTGATTTATCCCCAACACGCTTCCTGAATAAGAGTACTACATTAGCTGTCCTGTGGCCAGATAGGATTTGAACTTCAGAGCTGTTGCAATTTCCACCCTTGCCTCCCACTATATCCTGGGATGCATCACATAGATGCCTGGGGATTTATCAACTTTCAAGCCACTAAAACTGCTAATAATACCCCTCAGTGCTAACTCATTAATTCATATCATATCTCCCCTCCTGATTTCTATATCTACATCTTTCTTTTCTACAGTAAATACACATGGAAAGTACTCATTTAAAACATCAGCTATATCTTCTGGCTCCATACACAGATTGCCACTTTAGTCCCTAATGGACCTTACTTTGTGTTATTCATTTACGGGATGTGGACGTTGCTGTCTAGGCCAGCAATTTTTATTGAGTAATACTAATTTCCCAGAGTGCAGTTAAGAGTCAACCAAATTAATGTGGGCCTAGAGTCATATGTAGGCCAGACCAGGTAAGGATGGCAGTTTTCTTCCCTAAAGGACATTAATGAACCAGATGGGTTTTTTTTGACAATCAACAATGGTTTCATGGTCATGATTAGACTCAATTCCATATTTGTTATTGAACTCAAATTCCATGGCAGGAATCAAACCCAGGTCCCCAGAACATTGCCTGGGCCTCTGCAATAATAGTCAAGCGATAATACCACTCGGCTTTCTCTTCTTGATTAGTCTTTCCCTGATTATTCTTATGACCCTAATGTATTGTGTGGAAAGGGAGATGAGATAAGAAATTGGGTCTTGGCTTTTGTAGATTTGAGGCTGATAAGAGGCACATAACATCTGTGCCATGCAAGTTCATGGCCATATCAAATAAAATGAGACCAGCTAAACTTTTCCTATTGATATTCAATGACATTACCATTGATCAACTCACCACATCAACACCCTGGGGGTTACCATTCATCAGAAACTTAACTGGACCAATACTGTGGCTCTAAGAGTTGGTGAAAGACTGGGAATTTTACAGTCATTGACTCACTTGCTGATTCCCCAAACCCTGGCCACCACAGGGCCAAGACACAATTCAGGGGTATGATGGCATATTCTCCACTTAGCTGGATGAGAGCAACCCAAATAGCAATTAAGGACCTTGACATCATCCATGACAAAACAACACAGTTGACTGGCACCGCATCCACAACCTTAACAAAACATTGCTTCTAACACCACTGTTCCATAACAGCAGTGCTTTGCAAGATGCATGGCAACTAGTTACTTTGATATGTCCTTCCAAAGTTATTACCTCTATCACTCAGAAGGACAAGGCAGTAAATGCACAGGTAAACCATCAACTGTAGGTTCATTTCAAAGCCACGCACCTTCTTGACTTGAAAATATATCATTGTTCCTTCACTATTGAGTCATAGATTCATACAGCACGGAAACAGACCCTTCGGTCCAACAGACTATGCCAACCATAATCCCAAACTAAATTAGTCTCATCTGCCTGCACTCGGCCCACATCCCTCCAAACGTTTCTTATTCATATACCTAAATGTCTTTTAAACGTAACTGTACCCGCATCCACCACTTTCTCTGGAAGTTCGTTCCACACGCAAATCACTCTATGTAAAAAAAAAAGTTGTTTGTTTTATCAAAATGCATAACCTCATGTTTATCCAAATTAAACTCTATTTGCCACTCTTCAGCCCATTGACCCAATTAATCAAGATCTCTTTGTAATCTTAATTCACCTTCTTCACTGTCCACTATCACTAATCTTGGTGTCATCTGTAAACTTAGGTGACAATATAGGAAGCATGGTTACTAAATCATTTATATAACTGACAAACAAAAGTGGACACAGCACCAATCCCTGTGGAACACCGCTGGTCACAGATCTCTAGTCTGGAAAAAAAAACAGCTCTCCACTATCATTGGTGATAACCAGGGGGTTGCAGTGGGTGAGAGACTCACTGAGCTCTCTTTGGGGGAAGAAAGTAAGTTCCTTCAAGGTGGGCATCCTTAGAAGAGACTTCGCAGTATGGCAGATGGAATTCAACCTGGAAAAGTGTGAAGTGATTCATTTTGGAAAGTTGAATTTGAATTCAGAATACAGGGTTAATGGCAGGATTCTTGGCAGTGTGGAGGAACAGAGGGATCTTGGGGTCCACGTCCACAGATTCCTCAAAGTTGCCACCCAAGTTGATAGCGTTGTTAAGGCATATGGTGTGTTGGCTTTCAATGGCAGGGGAGTTGAGTATAAGAGCCGTGAGGCGAGGCTGCAGCTCTATAAAACCTGGTTAGACCACACTTGGAATATTGTGTTCAGTTCTGGTCGCCTCATTATAGGAAGGATATGGAAGCTTTAGAGAAGGTGCAGAGGAGATTTACCAGGATGCTGCCTGGACTGGAGGGCAGGTCTGATGAGGAAAGATGAGGGAGCTAGGGCTTTTCTCATTGGAGCGAAGAAGGATAAGAGGTGACTTGATAGAGATGTACAAGATGATCAGAGGCATAGATAGAGTGGATAGCCAGAGACTTTTTCCCAGGGTTGAAATGACTATTACAAGGGGGCATAATTTTAAGGTGATTGGAGGAAAGTATGGGGGGATGTCAGAGGTAGGTTCTTCACACAGAGAGTGGTGGGTGCATGGAATGTGCTGCCGGCGGTGGTAATGAAGTCAGATACATGAGGGACATTTAAGCGACTCTTGGATGGGCACATAGATGATAATAAAATGTAGGGTATGCAGGGTAGCTTGATCTTAGAGTAGGGTAATAGGTCAGAACAACATCGTGGGCTGAAGGGCCTGTACTGTTCTGTACTGTTCTTTGTTCTGTGTTCTAACTTCCCACAAAGTCATGGGATACACCAGATCAGGTCCTGGAAATTTATTCACCTTTATATTTTCTAAGACCTTCACCACTTCCTCTTCTGTAATGTGAACTGTTTTCAAAACGTCAATATTTATTCCCCTGAGTTCTCTAGCCTCCATTTCTTTCTCCACAGTAAACACTGATGAGAAATATTCATTTAATATCTCTCCCATCTCCTAAAGTTCAACCTAAAGATGATCTCTTCGATCTTTAAAGGGCCTTACTCTCTCTCTAGTTGCTCTCTTCCTTTTAATGTACTTGTAGAATCTCTTCAGATTATCCCTAACCTTATTTGCCAAGGCTATCTTATATTCTCTCTTTGCCTTCCTGGTCTCCCTCTTAAAAATGCCTCTACACTCTTTATACTGTAAAGAGATTCATTTGAACCCGGTTGTTTATATCTAATGTAAGATTCTTTTTTATTCTCGACTAGAACCTCAATATCTTTAGCCATCCATTGATCTCTAACGTTACCAGACTTACCATTTACTCTAACAGGAACATAATGACTCTGAACTCTTGTTATCACATTTTGAAAGCCTCTCACTTATTAGACGTTCCTTTCTCTGCGAACAGTCTCCTACAGTCAATTTTTGAAAGTTCTTGTCTCATACTATTAAAATTTGTCTTAGTCCAATTTAAAAATTTAACTTTTATGGAAGGCTTATCCTTTTCCATTGCTTGGTCAAAATCCTGAACTCCACCCCTATTAACACTGTGAGATCAGAAGGGGCTCAACACTACATTGTCAAGGGCACAGTACCTGAGTAATAACAATTGGCCTTGCCAGTGATGCTATGCCCACATCCAGTGAATGTATGAAGTTGACTGCTCTCTGACAGGCAGTAATTGCCAGCATTACATTTGCTGTCAGCATTCCTAAATTAATTGAGAAACAGGATCTATTAACTTCAGTTTCTACACGTAAATATTGTCTGTGTGTGTGGTCGGTGTCAAGCATGACTTGTTCTGTCCAAATACTTTTGCTAGACCTCCTGCCTCTGAAACAGAAGCTTTGTGTTGATATCCTACTTCAGGACACATAGAGTGTTGGTGAAGTCCCAAGCAAGTTGATAATGAAACTGCTGATTGTTCTCATATACTCCTCTCTGGTCGTATGAGTTGAAGTGATTATTTGTGAGCCGTGCTTGATATGTAATGGTGACCCTTAAGTTATAAACAGTAGTCTCTAACAGAGAGAGATGCCTTGCAGACCTGTTATG